CCGTGCCCTGACTTAGATCAGCCCAGAGGTTGTTTCAGGGTTCAATCTGTGAGTTAGCCATGCCCTGACTTAGATCAGCCCAGAGGTTGTTTCAGGGTTAGATCTGTGAGTTAGCCGTGCCCTGACTTAGATCAGCCCAGAGTTCTTGGCACTTTCATATTCATGCTAAACAGGATACAAAAAAGGGATCGCTGTACGAATGTCTCACGTGTTGCTAAGGGCAACAGATGATGTTCGCTGCCAAGGGAGACAGGTAATGAGTATAATAACAATCAAGATAAATAGAATGATAAGATACGCTAAAAATGCTTAAAGAAGACTCGCAAAACTTTATCTGATAGAACTCTTTCATTTCTTCTATTCACTGATCAACTAGGAACATATCTCTGATCGTTTCGTACACATGCTCTCTCTTTTCCATGTGGGAAGTGATTTGATTAAAAACTAAAATTCAGTTCGCATTTCTTATCTTATTTTCAATAAACTTTGACAGGAGATACTATTCTAAAACCTACCAGAAAGAATACGAAAATCCCCTTAACTTCAGAAATATTTAAAATTTGATCGAGCCAGCTGAGGTAGCGAGTATATACAGTCCTTTGACTAAATGTTGTCGTTGATCGGATCATCCCTACGCGCCTAGACCGAAAAGGATAAAGGGTAAATTACCCAGAACTTGCGCCATCCAAACTGCTCGCAAGCGTTAAATCCTCGCCGTATGCACGAGGCATGGGTTTAGCAAATTAAATGGGATCGAAAAAAGCGAGCTCAAGACGTGTTAGATAACATATGCGGCAGCTAGTAACTGTGAATTATCCCCATGATCCTTTTCGGTCTAGGCGCGTAGGGATGAAGCCGATCAAAAGACGACGTTTAGTCAAAGGACTGTATCTTGACTATAGTAAGCACTAGTCTAGATAATTGTAAATACAGCATACAATATACCTATCCCGAATTCACTTGACTGACCATGAAACAATGGTCTGAAGTTGAGACTGAACTTGATTATTTTGTTCATCAAGTTCAACCTCGACTTGAAACCACTGTTTTGTGACCAGTCAAACGAATTCGGGATAGGTCTATTGAATTCGATTTAGCGTGTTGGGTTTTACAGAGGGAGAAAACACCAGAGAGCAAGGAGAACAATCCTCAAATCAATGGAAAGACCTAAGACAACACTAAAGTAGGTAAAGTAATTCCATTATTTTAAATGCTTTGTGTTTGCTACTTTTGTTTCTATTTTGTAATGACATATTTTTAAAAAAACTATCTTAATGCATTTTTTATCGATTTTCTACTCATTTGTATTATTGAGGACATTCTCTTGACCTTGAATGAAAAAAAATTATATATATATATAGTTTTTGGAATCACTATTATCCAGTAAATAGTAATCTATTTCATAATGCTCGCATTCATGCCCAGTTGAATTAAGTATGGGGAAAAATCTCGATTCAGCGACCTAAGTCAAGCTGGCACGGCTTGGCTTAGGGGACGGCAACGACCCACGCGAATCGAAGGGGGGGCGGGTGGGCCGCTTCGTCTTTTACCGCTGGTAAAACTGAGCAAGAATGCAATACCTCTGCTTAACAGCCGTATTTATGGCTAAGATATTACGTAATCTACGTGAA